TTCCAAAGCATAATTCAAGGGTAAACATGAAATTAAAAGTGATCAAGGGTTCAAATCTCTTCTTATGTTTCTTACCATAACTTTTCTTCTTACATGATCCTTCATCAATAATTGAAAACGTTAATTATTACCGGCAAATGCTTGCTAAATTATAGTTTAAATAAACGGTCCCTATGTCATTAATAACCAAAATGATTAGCCTTGACACATTTCATTTAGGAAAATTAATTAAAATAACCATTTTTATCAGTTGGTTTACCTCTTAGTCACTCTTACAACATTTATCAAAATAGCCCTAGATCCGTAATTTCATTTTTTTTTTACGGATTCAAGTGAAAAATATAATATATTTTTTTGTGAACCAGGTAAGAAATGTAATTTTTTTTACGGATCTAATGAAAACGACAATTTTTTTTACTGACAAAAGTAGAAAGTGTAAAAAAGATTTGTTTTTCATTTTGGGTCCGTAATTGTGGACATGAGTTCAGTAAACCTACGGCTATTTTGGTAAATTTTAAAAGAAAATGACAACTAACCCTGAAAAAATAATTTGTTTTTAATAAATTTTCCTTTTATTTATATAATGAATTCGACCGCTGACAAGTCAAAAAGGTCACGTTTTCTTTCATCATTCAACAACAGGCCACTGCATTAAACAAGAGCCCCAATGATTTTTTATATATTTATAATATAAATATATATACACACACATTATAAACGAAAATAAACCAGAATTTTTTAACCTTAATCAGCTAAAAATTAAATGTTATAAAAATTATCAAAGTATTAGAATCGTGCTAAAAAAAAATTACATGTTACATAAAGAATATTTATTTGAACCACAAGGATGGTGTATGATTGGTTTGAACTTGGTTCCAAATATCAAAAGTACTATAAGGTCTCAGGTTCAAATCTGAAGAGAAATAAAAATTCTCTTGTGGCCACGGAGGTTCAAATGCGGTGACTCCGGGTTATCTGCAAAGCAGGTAGTCGTCCTAGGATTAATCAGCTCACATAACGGGTTGGATATCCAGGCTAAAAATAAAATAAAATTATTCGTTTGTTATTAACCCATCCTGGCACTTAAAAAATGAAAGCCTTTTTATTAATATATATATATATATATATAGGGTATCTTTCAAATGCAACCATGTTCATTTGTACAACCAATGCAACCCAATTAATTGAGATATTTATAGAAATGATGGGAGTTCATTTATTATGATTTGAATATTTATGAAAGATAAATAGGGTTCATTAATTATGATTAATACTTCATATTAGGAAACAACCAAAACTTCTATGAAATCGCATATTCATCAAATTAAATGGACGGTTGAGATTGGGTTGTATTGGTTGTACAAATGTAAAAGGTTGTATAATAACCCACCTCTATATATATATATATATATATATATATATGAAATTAATTAAGAATGATTACAATTTTCCAACCATGAACCCTAATTTCTACAATTAACTCAAAAGTCAAAAAGGTGAACATAAAAAAGATGGGATATTTTGCACGCCTGAGTTTCCAAAGGAACACATCATATTTTCATCTACTTATTACTATGTGTGCATGTGTGTGTCAAATATATATATATATATATATATATATATATATGTGTGTGTGTGGAGGTTCAATCGAGAACATTTCCATTTTACAAGAACACCCTTATCACATGTGATAATACGCGTGAAGGAACCCTGTGATGTGCGGACAACGTGTTCTACTATTTAGCCCGCGCCAAAGATTGTATGCGTTTATGATTTAGCATCACATGTGATAGTCTTAATGGATTATAGTATCATATCAACAACACCCTTATCACATGTGATAATACATGTGAGGGGGCTTAGTGGTGTAAGGGCGATTTGGTCCGCAACCAAGATCGCATCGAAAATCGTCCGCGTCTCTAATTTAGTATCGCATGTGTATCATATGTGATGAAATAATAGTATCACATGTGATTGTCTATAGTAAAAAAAATGTTCTCGCGTTCTCGTAAAATGAATATGTTCTTGTTTGAACACATTACTTAGAGTCTTTCGTCAACAAATACAAAATTATAGTCCACCTCAGGGTCTCTCTAATTTCTATCAGAAGAAACGGTAATATGTTTACATCATCATCTCTATAATTTGTATATATGTATATTTGTTATCTCATTTACTGTGTAATAAAAAAATTACGTGTAACAGAGTCTTCAAAAAATTTGGAACGTCCATGATGTATGTATACACTCACACATACACACACACACACACACATATATATATATATATATATATATATAGCCAAGATCAAATGCTAACCATCATTTTTGTGTTAACCTTATTAACTGATCTTGGTCATCAAAATCTACAATCAACGGTTAAGATTAATCAATAAAAAAATTAAATTTTAAAGTTTGAATTTTAATGAGGCCTAGTGAACAATGATGAAAGGGGCATTTTGGGAAGAAAAAAATACACTTTCTATGTGCGACTACTATCAAAGGTATTTTAGTAAATTGAATTCATTTGTAACCCCCAAACAATTAACGGGGAGTTACAAACAATCAAATCTCAAAAAATATGCATTCATATTATTAAAAAAAAATTACTATTGATCTTCCATATTCATTCTTGTATGAATTCCTAAATCGCATAAGAAACACAGTAGTAACAATTTTCGGTATTGATCAATTTGAATACAAATGAACCGTGAACATAATTTGAACATAAATGAACCGTGAACACGATATGAACACAAATGAACACAATATGTGCAATTTTTGGCCCATATCTTCACATACATAGACGCCCCACAAAATTAAGGTAGCATCTGTTAATTTGTGTTCATCTGTTAATTTGTTCAAATTGTGTTCACGGTTCATTTGTGTTCAAATTGTGTTCACGGTTGTTCATTTGTGTTCAAATTGTGTTCACGGTTCATTTGTGTTCAAATTGTGTTCACGGTTATTCATTTGTGTTCAAATTGTGTTCATGGTTCATTTGTGTTCAAATTGATCAATACTGAAAATCGTTACTACCATGTTTCTTATGCGATTTAGGAATTCATACAATAGTGAACATGAAAGATCAATAGTAAAAAAAAATTAATAATATGAATGCATTTTTTTTGGGATTTGATTGTTTGTAACTCCCCATTAATTGTTTGGGGGTTACAAATGAATTCAATTTACTAGAATACATTTGATAGTAGCCGCGCATAGAAAGTGTATTTTTCTTCCCAAAATGCATCTTTCATCATTGTTCACTAGACCTAATTAAAATTCAAACTTTAAAATTTAATTTTTTTTATTGATTAATCTTAACCGTTGATTATAGATTTTGATGACCAAGATCAGTTAATAAGGTTAACACAAAAATTATGGTTAGCATTTGATCTTGGCCCTATATATATATATATATATATATATATTAAAGGAAGAACCAAGAGTGTTGAGATGACATCATGAAAATTAAGTATTGAGGTGTTGGTGAATTGTAGTTGAGTTTGAGATATCCCATATTGGTGAAGAGTTGAAAATTTTGAACAAAATGGAGTGTATAAGAAATGTGGATTAGATGTCTTTGTGTCAAATAATGAGGTTTGCGTCATAAGGTTGTTTTTCTTTGGATGACCCTCTTTGAAATCTATAACTGTTGCTACAACTTATGCACTCCTATAATTTTCACTTGAAATATTATAAAACGTTTCTTTTTCATAACTTCAAATGGGATTTCAATTAAATTTGTTACAAAATTAACATCGTGATTTTGTCACCCTTATATGAGATTTCAGTTAAAATTGTGACTTCTAATTAAATAAACTATTAACATTAGTCAAACATTTGTAGAATACTTTGTAACACCATTATCGAGCATAGTTAGATAACTTAAATTAGCATATGGTTCTAAATTGTTGTCAATTTCTCTTAAAAACTTTTAATGTTAATGAGTAGTTGGCACATATATTTGTTTAATTTTTTTTAGAAGTGGACTTCAAATTTTAATCTATAACATTCATTTTGAAGATGATATTATGACTACCGTGCAACGCACGGTTGGAACACTAGTATATCTAAATGATGTTTAAAGATATGTATTTTTGTTTTTTTATTTCAAACATGATTAAAGTTTTCTTATGGCCGTAAATAACGAAACCTCCAAATGGAGTAGGGTCGGCAATTTCATAACAATTGAAAGTGAAACTAGCAGATATGTCGACTAAATCGACTTTCACCAACAATTTCATAACACTAATGATCTAGCAGATATGTCGACTAAATCGACTTTCACGAGCAATTTCAAGTATTCATAACAAGCGAATTTCCATCAAATTGTTTCCACTTCTCTCGTCCCAAATTGTTGACGTGTACAATAAATTGTATAAAAACATCGTCATATCTTTACTTTTTATATAATAATAAAAATATCTAAATATAAATAATTTAATATATATTATGTGAACATATGACTAATAAATGTTTTCATTCAAATATATTTAATTCGATTTTAATCATATAAAAATATTAGTATTTGATATGATTAAAAAAAATTAGAAACTTTATTATCATGAATAAATAATTATTATTTTGAGGATTTTAGGAAAATTAAAATGTTTGGTGAAATGCGCAACGTGGCAGAATGTGATAGGGCGAGAGAGCCCGACCACACTATGATTGGGAGAATAGGGTGCGACAAATATGAAGTCGCTGCTGGCCTGCTAAATTGTCCCTACAGACCCATTGCAGCATTCACAATTCACGGGAAACCCGTATGACGTCACGTCTCGTGTGGGTCCACCAGCACGCAACATCTGGGCCCCACTCCTCGATTCCATTCATTCGCCTTTTAACCGTTCGATTGAAAGCGAAACCCTCCTCTCTCTCTCTCTCTCTCTCCCCATCATCATCTTCACACACACACACACACACACTCACTGTGACTCAAGTGGAGCAGATTTCGCGGGGTTTTCTTCCCTCTGATTCAACATCACCTTCTTGATTTCTTCATTTTCCGCCATTCACGACCACAAACACTCATCGTGTTATTGCTGAAACCAACAACAGAGTAAGATTTCGTTGTAATTCTTTTCTTCTCGTTTAATTCATGTAATGCATCTGAAGAAAGACTCTGTTTCTTGAAGTTTCCAGTGAAGGTAGATTCTAGATTTGTGATTTATCTCTTTCCTTTTCTTGATTTCTTTCTATTCGTGTGTCTCATCATCTGATAAATACTTCTAATGTGTGTGTTTTTCTTCGTTTTTAGCTATTTGATGCCTTGGATCTGTGAATTTCCATAAGGAACTTGTATTTAATCTTGAAGATTTATGGAGGATTCGTTTTATTCAGGCACATTTTTGGCTTTCCAGATTCGTTGGCTCTACCTCTTTACTCTCCGATATCCAGTAGAACTGTTTTCTGATACGTTTAGAAAATTCCAAGCGTGCTCACCAAAAAAAGCATAACAAAATGTAAGTTTTGTTCACATGGCTTTTTATGTTCTTTCCATGGGCGTTAGATTCTCTTGGAGTCTACAATTATCTGCACCATAAGCAAGATGATTAAAATCAGTGATGGAGAGGAGGCCTTATCCATTTGTCTCTGTGTAGTCCTATAAATTTTACTACTATAAGCATAAAATAATTTTGGATTCTAGTGTGATTTTACATCTGCTTCTAGTCTTCTAGTGAAGCGCAACACTCCTGAGGCTTTTGGATATAGATCCAATCATATTGTAAGGTACAACTTTGTTATGCATTTTTATCCAAAAATTCAAATTAAGCAATGTGGCTAACCCTGGACCCTGTAGTACCTGTTCAGTCCTATTGTTAGAAACATCAAATAAATATGAAGGAAGATGGCCTGACCTCAGAGTAGTAATGGGGCCTGGCAGCCTAACCCCATGGAAAGGGGAACTGTTGCAACTATAGTAACTGAAAAGGCAACATATAGACCACCTATGAACTTAAAAGGAAAAAAACTAACATTCACACCATTTTTACACGACTTATTGCTTAGATTAGGCATCGAAAAGAAGTTAGTAGTCACAAAAGATGCTCCGTGAAAATGAGTTCTAGAGGCATGCTAGCCTGCTGGTTGTTGTGTTCCCAGTAATATGACTAATCTCACAGTCATAGGCAACAAGGACAAGAGCATAACAGCATTTGGATTATCAATGCGTATAATAGATTAGAGAATGCTAGTATTCTTGATAATATCATGGTTCTTAAGGATATATCGATGGATTTCTGTTTGATGCAAAACGTTAATAGGTTACAGTCTTTTTCCCATGGTGCCTTCTGCATTGATAGGTTGAAAATGCAGAGTGGGAATACACTGGGATGGAATTTTTAAGATTCCTAACATTGTTAGGTTTGGTGCGAATTGACATGAATTCTCCTGGTTTCTTGAAGGTAGCATGGCCGAGTGCTTCGAGATGGATGTAACCAATGTAATATATATCTGCACCTTTAGTTGTCCTACAATATATGTCTAATTGAGAGCAACAGATTAGTCTGACTTCCATAGAGACTGAAAATTTGATAGAAACCCATTAACTGTGGATGCAGTCAATGATGTTATATCTACACCCCTAAAAAGTGGAATGGTGAGTAACATTGGAAATTTTAAAATAGCTGCTGATCAAGTTAGATGAATATCAAAGTACTGTCAACAGAAGGCTAAACTTCGATATAGTATAGTTTCACTGTTTGATATGAGAATTCCAGTAGTATGTGCTCTTAGAATATTTTTATATTATTTTGTTCCGATTGATAGGAATGGTGCTCCAGCATCTCTTGGTACCTACATTATCTTCTTTTCACAAGTTAACAATTTATATAGCCGGTTCTATGAAAGGGGGTTACTCGTTACTATAAGCACTTTTTTCATGCACAAATTAATTTTCGTTTGTATAGAATTTACATGTCCTCTGAACTTTCTGATATCTCCTTCTGTCCAACTTCACGTATTATCTGGAAGGATATAGCTAGTAAATGGCAATGAGTTAAACTAGAGCTGTTCTAATTACTTCTAAACTGTAGTACCACTGTCCAATGAAGGTTGATTTTCATATTTAGGTTCGGTTCTGACCTTGTTAAATTAATGCTAATAAGATATGGCTTGTTGTTTTATATCTGAGCATCGCATTCTTGAGCATGTGTTTTCTGTCAAAGAGACTGTTGCAACAGTTTCCATGATAGCATGACCTGCATTCTAGAATTTACTCTGAGGTGAGGTGCTATTGAGGTGGCACCTCAATCCCATGTTTAGATATTTTATTAGTGTACATTGTTATGGCAAGGAACTTTGTTGTTTATCAAATTAAACTGGTATGTTTAGTTGAGCTTGGCAATGGTATTCAACTAAATATTACATTTCTAGCTACTTTCTCAACGTGATCTCTTCTTTGCTCATTCTCTCACCATGTATGGTATGAAACGAAAGTTTTTTCTGGGGATATCCTTTCCACTTAGCTTTTTCTTTCCTCTCTTTTCACCTTCATGCTCTCTTTGCAAATTAATACACATTGCAATTATATTTCGTTTCCCTTTGGCATTTGTTGTTGTGAGTTAACTCCCAAGCTTTTAACAAAAACGAAAACAAATACTTACATATAATGGCCGTTAGATTTTGAGTATGCAATATATTGACCGAGGCTCTCTCTTGTTCCTTACATTTTCCAGCTAGCATGGATGAATGAGATATCAGATACAGTGCACAGCTCAGAATGGGTTCAAGAGAACAACAAATCTCAAAAGGGCTGCAGGCGAAAGTTGTATCATTGCGAGCAAATAGGATCAGAAAAGCTCTAGATTACACTAAACTGGAAAACCCATTATTTGTCGGTCAAGTTCATGAGTTGAGAAAAAGTGCAGGTGAGAAGCATCTGGTTCATCTGCAACCCGTGATGAACCACAAAGAACAGTCATTAAGAAGTATGGGAGATAAAGATGACAGCCTTGTGAAGCACATGAAAAATTTGCCTGGCTTTCTCCAGCGTGTGGAAAAAGGTGAGAATATCCAAGGGAAAGCTTTGAATTTTGGAGTTCTAGACTGGGGTCGTCTAGAAAACTGGAAATCCAATGAAAAACGCATTCCACCAAGATATAACATGAAGACATCGCTCTCTAGCAATAATCCCATACTTGTGGAAAGTGGATCAGCCAGGTTATCGAGAACTAGGAAAAAGATTCATCCACCTCGGAGGGATCAACATGCATCAAGTTGTTCACAACTCAATTCATCTTGCAGAGAAAGACTTTCCCCAGGTGTTAGATGGCCGAGAGGGAAGGCAGTAAAAGTGCAACTTTCTGAAAGTTCTCCTGGACAAACATTCAATGGGACCCAAAGTCCTTGTTGGAAGGATCTGCCACCTGGCAACAAATATGATACGCTAGAGTTTGACAGTAGCAAAGAGAAACAAACAGATCAAATGACATCAGAAAAGGAAACTTCATCATCAGACTGGAGAAAACAGGGTCCATGTCATTCTCCACGTTATACGATGAGGTCTCAGGCTCAGGCTAGTGCAACTAAGATGCCATCAGATGATAATATCAATCATGCTGATGATCCTTGCCCCAGTGGCAACCATAATGCTGTACTGTCTTCACCTCGAGATGGGACCAAAATCAATTCTTCTAATCAAGATCTTTGGCTTTCAGACTCTAGAAATTCATGTGATGGTCATTTGACAGAAGCAAGCCAGAGTAGACTATCCAATTGCTTTTCTCCAACGGAGTTCCATTCACCAAACCCCTTTTCTCAAGTTCCTCACTCTTGCCCTTTCCCGTTACCTCTTAGTACTGAGACCTACCCTGATCCGGAATGTTCTAATGAGATACCAGTTACTCCAATGAGAGGTAGAACGCTTGAAGGAAACGAGCCAGTTGTACAACATTCAACCAAGAAATGTGATGTGGACATAGATGAACATCCTGCTCTGAAAGGGAGACAGTCGTCTCCCAATAGGAGATTTAGCTTTAGCCTTGGGAAGATGACCAGAAGTTTTAGCTTTAAGGAGAGTTCATCTGTTGTTCCACAACTAAGTTCGACACATACATCCTTCAAGTCTGGGCCTGTAAATTTTGAAGCCTCTCCTGATTTGGTCAATTACAACTGGAAAAAGGGAAATGCTACCAATTCATCCAGGTCTAGTCCCTTGAGGAGATTGCTAGACCCATTGCTGAAGCTTAAAGGATCCCATTCAGCTGACAAGGTTCAGAAATCAAAACTAGACCAAAATTCTACTAGTTTTTCCCCTGTAAAAGAGAACGAATGGCTTCAGAGTAAGTACAGATCAAGTAATGTACAGGCTCTCCTACAGCTAACTTTGAAGAATGGAATCCCTTTTTTCAAACTTGTGGTGGAGAGCAGCAGCGACATTCTAGCTGCTGCTGTCAAAAAGTTACCATCTGGGAAGGATGATTCAAGCTTGATTTATGCATTCTACTCTGTACACGAGAACAAGAAGAAGCATGGAGGTTGGATATACCAAGGTTCAAAAGAAAAAAGTTTCGGCTTTGGGTATAATATCGTTGGACAGATGAAGATTTGTAGCTCATACCATGCTGAGTTTAGTGGTTCAGAGAAAGACCTATATGTGGTACGAGAGTCGGTCTTGTATAGTAGTGATAGTGTGCAGGCAGATGAGAGAACACTTGATCGCATGCTAGATGGGGAAGTAGCTGCTATAATTGTGAAGAATCCAAGTGATGAAATCTGTGGAGATATAGGGAGCTCGAATAGCATGGTGGTTATTGTCCCTGAGGGTGCTCATAGTTTACCAAACGGTGGACGACCTTCTCCATTGATAAACCGATGGAGATCTGGTGGAGTATGTGATTGTGGAGGCTGGGATATAGGTTGCCAATTTCACGTTCTCAGTCATCAGAATGAAATCCCAACTCCCTCAAATCGTCTCGACCTATGTTACCAGGTATTTGCTTTGTTTTTGGTAGTTGTATGCCTCTTATTCTTATATCTCATCATTCCAAATCTATTATTTCTACAAGAAAGGAATTATGAACTGGAAAATGGAATGAAATGCAGCAGGGAAGGGGGAAGAAGAAGTGCAAATTTAGCTTGGTTTCACTTGAAGACGGACTTTACTCGCTTGAATATGATCCGTCAATGTCTTTGCTTCAAGCATTCTCCATATGTGTAGCGGTTGTAAGTAGCCAGAAGTTAACTCACATCTTTCAAGTGAATTACGTTCCGGATGAGAAAGTGAAAAGTTGGGAGGAAATCCCTGGAAAATACGTTTCAAAGCCACCGGCGTCGCCCGTTGGAAGGGTATAGTTTTTTTTTGTTCATTTACTTTAGTAAGTAATAGAGATAACATGGTGGTATCATATGTAGGGTGGTGGTGATGATGATGGTATACTAGTAATATTGTAACGTGAATACAAACACTTTTCGTGTTACAAAGTTGCAACCAAAAGCTGCTACCCACTTCATCCATATGGATTCTTTATTCACACTATTGATCCAATTTTCTTCATTAAACACAGATAAGCTATCCGTCTGAATGGTACCGTGCTAATAGGTAAAAAGACTAGCCAATTGTCAATCATAACGTATTCATGTTGGTCCAAAATCAGCCGTCCATAACCCTTTTTTCGAATGTATCTAATTATCAAAAAGTAAATATAACAACTCTAAAAATGTTTGTACAAGTTACATAAAAATTAAAGGTATATTTACTTTATTTTATAGGTAATTAAAATATGCTAAATAATTTTAATTTATTAATTATATTTTCAAAGAAATATTAATTAATTAGGATATGTGAGGATGACAAATTTTATTTTTATTCATATTATATATAACGGTTATTTAAAATCATAGATTAACGTACATCATATATTTAGAAATTTATTTTAATCATATTATGAAATATTTGTAATTGACTATTGTTTCAAGTTGCTATTTTTTTTTTTTGTTATTTTACATGCTTATAAGCTCGGTGGTGTTAAACACAATTTGTTCATCAGCTAATTTATCAACTATCAAAAAATTTATTATTAATTAGTTAATTTATCAACTATTTTGTCAAACATAATACATATTATGTCGTGATTGCTTATTTGAATTGAATTTTGATCCTGCTCCTAATTTTATTGCTTTCATCACTGCTTACGTTTATCTCTCCAAATCTTAATTCATTTGGTTCATCAAATTTGTTTCCTACTTCATCCCATTCCATTATTTAATGTTACAATTTTATATTTATGCCTTTGTTCAATATATAATATGTAGCTTTTTTTGATACCAACATTCACACTATTTCTTGCTTAGTTGACCAAAATGTCACTACATACGTAAAATACCCATTGTGGATCTAGCTAAAAGACAAAAATTGTCAAATTCAACCAGTTTACCATCGTAATTGCGGACCTGACCGTCGGGTGTTGAATTTTGGTTTTTAGCTTGGTCCACAATATTACGGATCTGAATATTGCCGAAATAGTGATATCTTGGGTCAATCCGAGATAGAGATGGTTAGGAAGCCAATTTAAATGAAGAAAGTGATCATTTAACTCAAGGACTCATCCATATAGTTTGTCACATCATATTTCAACTTTTCAAGTATAAAATTACCATATAAAGATTATGTAATGGGAATTAATGGATGAAAGTTAACAAATGCTAGTAAGAGGAACCATAATTGAACAAAAACTCATACTATAAGGTTTTTTTTGTAATATATAAATAGTATAAACCAAAACCGAACTAAAGCAAACACACTTATCAGTTCACTTAGGGGCCGTTTACCAAACGCTTACTCGAGTAAGCGCTTACCAAGTCACATTACCTTATCGAATGAATATAACGAGGACCAATAATCTTACCTGGTAAGAGCGAGACAAGGACCAATAATCTTACCTGGTAAGAGCGAGACAAGGACCAAGAGTCTTACCCGGTAAGTGAGGGCGGTGACTCTTACCATGATATGCACTTATCGGGTAAATTGTTGCATACGATATCATTTTGGTGGATTAAAATCTTACCCGGTAAGTAATTGATAGTGTTAAATTTTACTGATAAACGTTTATTGGGTAAGTGTTTGGTAAACGGCCCCTTAATTTATCGGATGAACATGATAAATGTAACAACCCGTCCCACATCGGTTGGTGAGGAGAACTAAGCACTCCTTATAAGGGTGTGGATACCTCATCCTAGCATGACCGGTTTTGGGGCTTGCGTTGTGCGGCTGCCAGAAACAAAACCGTGYGACTACTGCTTTGTGGTTGAGCGGGCAGGTTAGTCAAAGCGGACAATATCATTGCTACGGGGTTCTGGGGGCGTTACAATAAATATCGAGCATTATATCTGGTAAGAGGGATGACAAAAACCGAGAGTCTTACTCGGTAAGTATGTACTAGATAAATAATATATACAACAAAATAATTATATATCATATAAAAGTTAAAGATAATACAAAAAAAAAAATATATCACTTCATAACAAGTTCAAGATAAGAATCAAGGTTTTTATACAAGAACTTATAAGAACTCTTACCAATGATGATTTATTTAACCATATGTTTTTTACTTATAAATACCTCACATCGAAACTGCCCAATGAAATGGTTTTGTAGCTTGCAAGAGCATTTTTTTTATTAACCTAGATATTTAACCCGCTATATGAGCCGACTAATCTCAGGGTGACCACCTTCTTTACAGATAGCTCGGAGTCACCGTATTTGAATCTTCGTAACCACAAGAGGATTTTTATTCCGTTCAATAGTACACCTCTTTAGGTTTTAATAAAACTGTCGGTCTTTTTTTCAAAAAAAAAAAAAACAAAAACCATAAAACACCCTTTACTTTCGGTTCGCATTTTCTTTAATTAGAAAATGTGGTCTAAGCTCGTACTTTCAAACGCTAGTTTTATAAAACCATCCATTGGCATTTTTGTAGTAACTAATCATCTTATTACTATAACCTCAAAATTAAAAAAATCCCGTGTAAACGTTATTTTTATTTGATTATAATTGCTTTTTTATGAATATTTAATTTCAAAATATAATTAAAATGCACTTTGTGACGTTATTGAATTTTGGTAAATACATATAATGTACTTGTAACTTTGTATCAACCGTAGAAAATAAAAGTGTAAAAAGGAGAGGTTATACACAAATATGGCACGACATGTCGTGGTCACATTGAAGCAGCAGTCCCCACAAGTCAAACCCCCCATCTTGCCGTCTCACGTGACCGCTATTAATATATTTGCAACCGTAATTACATAATATTTATAAAAATACAACATTTAAGGGTTGTTTAGCAGTTGCTGAATGATTTGGTGTAAAATGATTTAGTGGTCATAATGATTAAGAGGTTCTCATGATATAATACAAAATGAAATATAATTGTTTAGTAATTGTTTACAATGAAATTAGAACTCTTAATGGTTAAGGGAGACCCATAATACAAAATCGTTCAGAGGGTTTTAGAACAATTAATAAACAAATACTTGTTGATTGAATTTGAAAAGGACAAATAATCTTATCGGTAAATAAAGAAAAATATTTTTATCAGTAAGTGCTTACTGAATAAAAGACGTTTACGAACAATTCATTTTAATGACCGAGAATGTTACATGACAAGATATGTAAAGATGATGTGTTTTACCGGTAAGCACTTACCTGATAAATGTTTGGTAAACCATTCGTATAATATATAGTTAAAAACATGTGGATTAATTAAATTTACTTATATGTTATAATAAGATATAAAGAAACAATGTTAAATTAAACTTATATCTATACTGTATTATAAAACATTTAACATAAACTATTAAAAACCATTGTTTATACATTAATATTACTTAAAATTCAAGATTACAAAGTAAATTGTGTGTAAATACAACTTATTAAAGTTTCATGTTTGAACTCATGTAATTAGCTGCAGATAAATATAATTAAATAGAAGATAAACATCTCATTTTAAATATAAAAAGTCTAAAATATAATTAGAATATTCATTGACTTCTAACAAAATACTTAATTATTATCTTTATAAAAAAATTATATTATTAAACCAAAAAATGAAAAAATTTAAATAGTTAGTTTGATACTAATATCAATATATTTTTTAAATTTATTATGATATTTTCATATTTATATTTTCTTCAAAAACAAAAACATTATCGTTTTTCCAAAATCATATAAAACCGTATTATAACATCGATTAAGACAAAAAAAATGTAACATTAAAATTGATATATATCTATACTATATTATAAAACATTTGACAAAAACTCTTAAAAACCATTTATTATGCATGAAGTACTGTTTATTAATGCATATTACTTAAAATTCTAGATTACAAGTAAATTGTCCGTATGTACAACTTATTAAAACTCAATGTTTGAATTTGTGTAACTAACTACAAATAAACATAATCAAATTCTGGATAATTATCTATTTTAAATATAAAAAAATCTAAAATATGTTTTGGATAATCATTGAATTTAAAATATTTATAAAAGAATTATATTATTAAACTAAAAATAAATAATTTCATTATTAAATCTAAATTAAATTATGATAAATAATAAAATTAAAGAAAATTTTTAAATATTTAATTTGATTTTAAAATTTTATGATACATTTAAATTTATATTTTATTCAAAAAAAACATTATCGTTTTTTCGGTAACACATAAAATCGTATTTTAACATCGACAAAGACAGAATAAAATAAAACATTAAAATCGAGATGTATTTCGTTATATTGCACGATTATCCTATAGTATATTAAAATATATTTAAAGCTAATGAGAAGTGGTCCCATCATTGTCATCAACGACCGTTGACCAGGTTCCTAACGAATTCAACCGAGCCGGCGTACAGCCATTCATGTATGTATGAAAAGTATTCTAAAAAGTCAAATAATTCTTAACTTTTGTATCCGTTTTAATTTTAAAATATACCCTAAAAGATGCTTATTAACTCTAATTATTTAATATAAATTAAAATTAGTTTTAAAATAATTTGAAATGAAAAAAAAAATAAAAAAAATTATATTCAACTATCTTAATTTTTAAATTTTAAAAATTACACCGTTAATTATATTATAATTTTTAATACATTTGATTAAATACTATGATATGATACATTTTGAGCACTAGATCTTGTATTCAGTTCCACAAATTTATTAATGTATTATTTATTTGTATTTTATGTTATATCTGAAAGCGTTTTTAACAATTATGTTATATTAGAAATTTAAAAAATTTAAAAAAATTTGCTTCAAAAATTATGTTAAACTTTCCTTTGAAAAGAAATATATATATATATATATATATATTATGTATAACATATTTATTAGAAATCCTCTAATGAATTTTTTTGGGTCATGTGTTTGACAATAAATAACGTAAAATCATTATAAACCAAAATACCATCATTAAGTTATAAAAAAAGTAAAGCAAATATATTTATACACACATATATATATATATATATATTATAATATATAAATGTGCGTTATTATGTAACCCTTTATATTTGTACAACTAATACAACTCAATCTCAATCGTCCATTTAATTTGATAAATATATGATTTCAAAAAAGTTTTGATTGTTTCATAATATAAAATATTTATTATAATTAATGAACTCTAAATATTTTTCATAAATATTCAGATCATAATAAATAAACTTTCATTATTTTCATAAATATATTAATTAATTGAGTTACATTAATTATACAAATGAACATAATTATATTTAAAATGTACCTTATATATATATATATATAAATGATAGGACAGACATGCCAAAAAGCAACTGCATGATGCCATGTGCCTTTCCACGCTTCCATTATTATTCAAAATAAACAAATCCACCGCTTTGATACGCTAATCTCCTTGTTTTGACCGTCCACGTGGAGCCATCTCATTGGAAATTATAAAACTTTATCTCGCCGTTTGTTTCTTGGGAAATTTTTGGAAAACGAGGAGAACTTGAGGGGTGTCGGTTGTAAGTATGGATACCCGTGATCGTCACATTCGATGCTCCGCCCAAACGGTTTTAAAATAGAAATATCTTACTTACATATACACCCCTACTGTTTTACCGTGTTTTCATTTTTAGTACCTAATTTTTATGATATTTTCCGTCTGAACCCTCTATGCAATTTATTATTCCATAACCCTTTTTCCCAAAATATATGATCACCCGATTTGTATGTATTATCTAATATATATATATATATATATATATGATCACCCGATCATGTGAAACCAAGGGTTTTTCGTGAGACCCGTAAGACAAATTCTCAATCCTTAGATTAGATCTACAATTTGAACATTCATAATCACAAAATTGTCACGAGACTTCTCAATAATCACAAAATTGCCACCGAGCAACTTTAAACCATTAGGGTTGGGTTCACGTGAAACCAAAAGTTTTTCGTGAGACCCGTAAAACTAATTTATGTTCATTGATCAACTTTATTATCTAATGATCTAGTGGTTTAAAGTTGCACGGTGACAATTTTGTGATTATTGAAAAATCTCGTGGCGTTTATGAATGTTCAGATTGTAGATCTAATCCAATAGTTGAGAATTGGTCTTACGGGTCTCATGAAAAAACTTTGGTCTCACATGATCCCAAGTCTATATATATATATAGGGTATATTTCTTTTACAACCTTGTGCATTTGTACAACCTTTGCAACCCAATTAATTGAGATATTTATAGAAATGATTGRAGTTTATTTATTATGATTTGAATATTTATGGAATATGAATAGAGTTTATTAATTATGATTAATACTTTATATTAGGAAACAATTAATTGATTAAAAATTGAATGGTTGAGATGAGGGTTGTATAGGGTGTAGGAATGGCAAAGGGTGTAGAATAACGTCCCTCTATATATATATATATATATATATATATTAAGGAAGAATATATTAATAGTAATACTTATATATGTATGCATAATACGATAACTAAAATTATTTTAAATGATAGTCGTTATCACCATCATATTCATATTATTGACAAGTTGGGTCGGGTACTCTTTGGACATGTTATTATGATGGCCTCGAGGATGTGAACGTCGACATGTATAAGTCATATACGCAACAACAGATACTATTCGATTAGATTTTGTTAGTACTCTTGTTATTTGTGTTCAACTGTCCAAAATAATATGGTATAAAATTACTCGGTGCTATTATATACAGTTACAATATATGTACCATAAATCTATGATCAATCAATGTTTGCTAAACATATCTTTTCAATGTGTTACATAACTCATGCATAATACGATCTTAACATATGATTTTTTTTATATCATTTACGTCTCTAATTAGCATCAAACATGTACTTTTATTTTTTTGCTCACAATGTTGTATATTCCCTTAGCTTATAGTGTGTACCTCATTTGACATAAGGGTGAGATGACTTTGCCTAAATATAAGACATCTCACAAGTTCGATTTCAGGTCCCCTGTTAGCCTCAGCCGTCGACTGAGCCAAATATCCGCTCACCTTGGTGCAGTTGGAGGTGGGTCCCGTGTGGAACCGGTTAGGATTATCGGTAATCAACTTATGTCCAAAAAAATACGTTTTCCTAATTGCATCAAATACGTTATACGTATGTCCTATTTCTATTTACCAACTTATTTAACCGGTAATTGAGTATTCCTTTATATATTTTATCTCATTTATATTAATATTAAAATAGGAAAAAAAATTACTTTGTAATACAGTTTTTCATTAATGTATTTGAAAGGTCTTTCCCCCACTGTTGACTTTTCACAAGGAAATTGCTATCCATATAATAAATAAATAAATAAATAAATAAATAATCCAATTAATTTAAAATATCCCAAATCTTTTGAAAAAACAGATCTCATTATTTACAAATATTTTATAAAATTAAAACCATATAGCATTATTTTTATATGTTTTAAACATGTTTAAATGGTTTTTAAAGCAGTTTTTTTTAAACCACAAGGGTGGTGTCTGATTGGTTTGAGATTGGTTCCAAAGGTCAAAAGTACCAGAAGGTCACATGTTCAAATCTAAGGAGGAATAAAAATCCCCTTGTGGCCACGGAGGTTCAAATGCGGTGACTCCCGGTTATCTGCAAAGCATGTGGTCGTCCTGGGATTAGTCGGCTCGCATAGCGGGTTAGATATCCAGGTTAATAAAAAAAACAGTTTTTATGAAAAGATGATCGACATACCAAGACTTTTATAGTCGCACAAACAACTGATGATTACAAATGATTATAGACCAACTAAAAAAGTACAGTGAGCTATCTTATTGTCCTTTAAATCAACAACAATAGCCAAAAGTATAGCAATGAAGAACCAGAAAGGTGAGCAACTAGAATAAATCAGATCTAACAGATTTCGCATTATTGTCATAGTACCAGAATAACTTACTATACCAACCACTGTAATAATATCTTCACTATAACAATATAAGTTTTAACAATCCTGAACTAGAGAAACAACAAGACGAATTATGTTAATAAGGGCGTTGCAAAGCAGTGGAGCATTCTGAAATCATTTTTACGTAAATACAGAGCACATAAGAAAACGAAAGTCAAGGAGTTGTTTTTTTTTCTTTTCCCATTAAACCCTGAATAAATTAAACTGTCTGTCTAAGAGATGAAACTGATGGGTTTGAAGCAGGTAAAGAGAAGAAGGTTGTATTATTTCAAGGGCATTTATGACATTAAATTGTTTGAGGTGACTTAATGGGGACACATGATGAGGAGTTATAACTTATTTCATATAGCCAGTTTGGCTTGACAACTTAACAGTTAATCGGAAGGAAACACTTTATAATTGAGCGAATAAACCATTCAAATAATTATTTATACAGTAAACATAATTATAGATCATTTTAACTGTATACTTATTATTTATGCAAATAATTTTCAATTATATGTTTAAAATCAATTACAATTTTCTTAAATATTTATATATTTTTATCAAGGGTTTGGAAAGTTAATATTAAGTAGGTAAGCGCAAATCCATCCTTTTTTGTTATTTTCAAAACCTGGAGGGTTTTAAATGAAATACGTGTAAAGTTGGGGGTGGTGTAATGGATTACCGTAAAACTAAAACCCCCATATTAATCTCTTTTTTCTCTCTCAACGGTCGCTCCGTGTTCAACTCGCGTTTCAGCGAAATTATACAGAGAATTTTCGTCGCCAGCAGCCATTCGTGAAATTGAACTTTTGGTTCTTTAGTTCCAAGTATTTTGATACTGCCACTTCGATCGATTTACTCCAGTTTGTTTGATTTGATTTGTTGAAAGGCTCAGATTTGCTGTGAATTTCACCGTATTCGTCTCGATTTTAAGGGATTTGGGAATTGATTTGGTAATCGTGCAAGTTGAAAATTGAAATCGAAGTTGGAGAGATTTGATATATCGATTTTGGGTTCGGAGGAGAAAAGGTTTGGTTTTTGTTGATTTAGTGAAGAGCGATGTTAACGTTAACTGTTAGGTTTATGATGTAATATGGCATTGGCTTTCTCACCACACTCATATCATGTCGCTTTACATAGGTCGCGAGGCTTCCAAGGTATCATTTCTTTTACACTGTAGTTCCTCTGAATCATCCCTCTTAGAACAAGTAATTCGTTAAACTAATTTTAATTTTCTGTTCTTGTTGATCTGTTCTTTGAAAAGCTATGGAAAAGAATTTGTGCAGAAACTGCAACAGAAATCAATCTTCTTCTGGAGAATTGGAAGTATATTCTTGGCGGTTTAATTTGCCAGGTTTTTTCCTCTTAATCTCGTTGTTTTGTCACTTCTCGTTTATTTGATTGTTTAAAGCAGTTTTGATGAGGTTTCTTGATCCATGGATGAAGTTGAGAGTGAAGATGCACGATATAGTAATCCAGAGCCTTTTGCCCTCATCAGTTTATTTCATCCATGAATGAAGGCTTTATTACCGAGATTATGCAAAGATGATGCCTCTCTTAACTTTAAAACTGTTTGGTTTTGAAAAGTTGTTGCTTGTACTCCATTAATTTGCACTTTTCTGGTCAATTAAATGTCAAAACGTGCTTACCAAATTCAATAACGATGTTTTAATTTTGATGATATACTCATGTATGTGATTGTCATTTGCTTTTGCTTAATTTGATGAATTTTTTGGCCAAGTCGTTCAGTATTTCACTCTGATCACTGGCTACTTTCTCTTGGCTTCCATTGCTTGAAACCGCTCTAGTAAGGTGATGTTTTTCTTATATTTCATTTTGGTATTATTTTTTCAGTACATTCATGGCCTGGCAGCTCGAGGAGTTCATTATTTTCATCGTCCAGGACCAATTCTTCAAGACGCTGGGTTCTTTCTGCTTCCTGTACGTATAATCAAAGCTCAATCTTTTGCTTATATGTAAAATACATTACATATGTCTATAGGTGGTAATCATAATAACCCCTAGGGGCTAGCCCAGTGTCAAGTCACTTGGACTTGGTGCCTCTTGAAGCATTGGGTCTTCAATTCCCATTGGGTGCCATCAACTATTTAGGGGCCATGGGCCAGAAGGCTTGAAATTTGCTTAAGCTATGTGGAGGGGTGCTTTGCATGAATCCCATCGGACTAGTTGGGTTACAAAAACAAAAAATGGTTGCAAATGATTATATTCCTAACTCTGTGGTTTTTCAGGAACTTGGGCAGGAGAGAGCATACGTCAGTGAGACCGTATTCACTTTTGTCTTTCTATCCTTTGTCTTGGTAATTATGCTTCCTATTTAATGTGTTGTAATTTGTAAACTCCAATTAGTTATAGAAATTTATTGAGCTCTGATTCACTCCCTCCTTTTTTGCATTTATGATTGTTATGTACATTTTGTCCTCATTCAGTCTTTTGTACTGTGTGACTTTTTTTTTTGGTACAGTGGACCTTCCATCCTTTCATATTCAAGAGCAAAAAGATCTACACAGTCTTAATATGGTGCAGAGTCCTCGCGTTTTTATTTGTAAGTGGAAACTTGTACCATCATATATACACAGTGTCACAATAAATGCTTATGTTTTTGTGCTTTTGGGTAAAATGAGCTAAAGGTGTATTAATTTCTAGGACTTCTGGTCAAGAACATGGGCCTACCACATTGTCATGTCTGGTATTTGTTTTGAGGCACACACATGTATATGATTTTTTATGTATTTGTATATCCATGTGTACATGTATGTATGTACAAACACAATGAATAGTTCTTGTTGAAACCTTATTTCCCCACATATAAGACATGTAGGAATGGTGTAGTTTATGGAGTCCCATGCGAGGAATAGTTTTTGTGATGGTACTATTCCCACGCGCACTGTGTGCCGAGTGGACAGGCTTGCGGGTTGTGTATTGTATTAGACTTCTACATGCATTATTCATTCATTCTTTGGGATTCTTGAAATGTTATTTTCCTATTGTTCTGTTGGGACTCAAAGGTTGATGGTCTTTGAGTGACAGCTTAATCACATTTAGATCATTCCTCCACAAATATCCTCTTACATGTTCCAATTTTACTAGCATCAAATATATCAATTGGACAATCTGTGTTGGAATCTAGATGTTTTGGTTTTAATTTATACCCAATACTTCTCTGTCCCATCAGAAGTGCAACAAATTCTAGTTTTTGAGACATCTGGTGAAAATTGCAACATCTTATTTGGCAAAAACTTAATGTATAACTACCTATATACCCTTTATTTTCCTTAAAAATTACTGGTGCTATTGATTGTATTCTATAAGATTCTTTTCAGTTTGTCATTGTGGTGGTCAATTAAGACATTTGATAGACGATACAACACTATGGAGTATGTACCATTGTGGTTTCATGGGATGGAGGATAACATCTATTTGTAATTGGGCTGGATTAATACATTAGCAAGTAGGTATATAAATAATCTGCAGTATAATGCAGTATTGTGTTTCTGTGACACCTCATGATTTGAACGAGACCAGTGCAGACTATATTTATGAAAGATTCTTGCTCAACTCTATGCCCTGCAGGCTTGTCAAATTCTTCGTATCATTACCTTCTATTCAACTCAACTGCCTGGTCCAAACTACCATTGCCGTGAGGTATTTGACATCTTATACATTTCTTTATTTGTTTACTTTGTAAGCATCAAAATCTTCATACAATCAAATTGAGTCTTAACTTTACTTATGGTTGAATACATTTGTGCATGATTGCAGGGTTCACGGCTTGCAACATTACCTCGTCCAGATAATGCTCTTGAAGTTTTATTAATCCGTGAGTTTTATTCTATCTGCCATATTTTCCTTTGCCTTGTTGATGCACTTAAGTTAGTTACTCAAGTTATCCATCTAAACTTGCAGTTCCTCGGGGCGTTCTTTATGGTTGTGGTGATCTGATATTTTCATCTCATATGATCTTTACTCTAGTATTTGTTCGGACATATCAAAAATATGGTACTCGGAGGTAATTTTGTGAACTTAACATAGCTTTTTCAGCATTGGAACTATATTTACTTTTTGTTAGTTGAGTGTAGTAGTTTTTTGAAAGACAGTCTGTTTAAGATCTTGTTTGGTGAAGATTGGATTTTTGTTCTGCAACACAAAACCTATCCAAACAGAAAAGCCAAAGGTCCCTTGTGGCGCACTGGTAAATGAGATTTGAAATGTAACCACTTGGGTTGTGGCGCACTGTTTAAACCTCAGGGGGATGTAGTGGAAAATCTCATCTCCCCTGGGTATGAATCCAGGCGCTGCCAAAGCCCTTGTGGCCATTGAGGTTCACCAGCGATGACTCCAGGCCATTCTTGGTCGCCAGGAGATTAATCGGTGTGTGTAAGTTGGCACGGAAACCCACAGTTACCCGAAAAATGATTTGAAATGTATGCAACTATTTTAAAAGACAAGTGAGTCACATACACAAGCCTGGGTTTTATTGAAATCTGGGAGCTGAACTCTGATTAAATTCTGGAGCCTAGTCAATGTGTTAAAACCTCCCTAAAATAAATCATGATTACCAGGTTCTTTGACTCCTTTTCTCCCTGAATAATCAGAAATCATGAACAAAATCTGAAGGTTTTAACTGAATGATTGTAATACTGAAGGTTTTAACTGATGGAAGTTAACAAAATCAACTCGAGATGTGTTCATATTATTTTACTCAAAGTCGTGCTGTTTTTTCATTAGGATTATGAATACCTTTCAATATTGAGTTTCTGGCTAATTGTTTTGCCATATGTTCTCTTTTCAACTGCTTCACAAAATTCCCTTGTTTTCTGCTGAAACCCCAATTTACTTCCAATACAATTCTTATTTTCTGAACCAGTGGACGTCTTTTCCAGTTGATACTAATCGATTCTCTTGGACCATAGGATAGGAGTCTTTTGAACCCGTGATTATCGTTTTGAGCCTTGTCTGTTAACAGGATGTGCGTATGTGACCGTTTCATAGAAAAATTCTTTTTGTTCCCAATTTGTAGACACCTTTTCGTTCTTTCTTGCAGATTTATAAAGCAGTGTGCCTGGCTGATTGCTGTGGTTCAGAGTTTATTGATAATTGCATCTCGAAAGCATTATACAGTTGATGTAATTGTGGCCTGGTAAAATAATATTTCATCACAACTTCCATACTTGTTCAGCACACTTGTAGCAATTCATTATGTAAGTTTACAAATTTGTTAATGCAGGTACACAGTTAATTTGGTTGTGTTCTTTGTTGATCACAAGTTGGCAGGTTAGTATGATACGGAACTCTTTAACTATATAATGTCTGCTACTTTTTGATCGTTGTGTACAGAATGTCGCATATACTGATACATTTAACAATCAATCGGCAGAGATGCCTGATCGCAGTCTAGGTGCACTTCTGATACCGTTGAGCAAAGATGGCAGGATGAAAGAAGAAGGCACTAAACTTTTAAATGGCAACTCCGGTGATCCTATAGATCGGGTATTATGATTACTATATTCCCTCGGATTCCTATTTCTCCATTTTCTTGCTACGTAATAGTTTTCATGAAAAAATGCTCAAGAAAGAGACCTTGACATATACGGATAAAGATCTATTGTCCCAGAATTTAATGTCTCATTCCTGTCCCACCAATGAAATTAGGACACATCAGATTTTTTATGTTTTAAATTTACTATTCAAGGTCACATTCTCCCTTTTTATGTGTATTCATGTGATTGGTGGACATTAATGGGACGTGAGAATTCGGGACATGAATGTGTAACTACACTTTTCAATGAACTTGATGATAATTCTATCCTTAACAAGAGAGGGAGTGATGAATTTCTATACTCATAATTAAGGGTAGATTGGAAAGTGTAATTTACTTTTGAAAGCGGACACTTATTTAATAGAAACGTGGACACTTATTTTGGGATGGAGAGAGCACCACAATGGATGGACCTATTTGTTGAGCAATCTCCCTCCATGTGAAAAATGACAACCTAATAGAAACTCGAGATTAAACGCTTGGCCAAATGAAGAAAACTAGGTACTAATTTCAACAGTGATTTTGATAGATAGATGGAAACGTGTCAGTAGTTCAGTTGGGTAAGAGCATCTACAACAGCTATGCTATTTTAGAAATTTTGGAGATTTGGGAAGTTTTCGATCCAACAGCTATGCTGAACTCTTCTAAAGAGAAAAATAGGAGAGAGAGGAGAAATCTCCAAATTTGGAAGAGTAGGGAGAAAATATAGCATACGCGGAAGAGATGCTATAAGCTTCAAAATCATGATTATGTTGTTAGCAATTGTGATAATAGTCTGAGTTTATAGCTTAATCATGTTGGTGATATATACAGAGGTCAAGAATTCAAGCGAATGGGAAGGTGAACGAAGATAGCGACAACGTACATGTTGACGTATTGGATGGTGCATAGTTGATGAAATCTCGATATTTACCTCTGGAAAATCGAAGACCGCTAAACCCTAGTTTGTGTATCTAAAGTAAGAAACTTTCAATTGGGTGGTTAAGTTTTTCATTGACAGAGGGTCTTGTTGCTGTCTGTATTCATTTGATTTTGATTTTAGATCAAGTTGTATTATGGACTTCCAACTTTCTTTTATTACTACCATTTTTCATTTTCCAAGCTTTTGCTTCCTTATTTTCAGGCAATACCAATTGTGTATATATATATATATATATATATATATATATATGTTGTTGAATTTCTAAGGGCTGTTTGGTTGGTATAAGTTGTCTTTGTGGATTAATTTGTCTTTATAGGTGAGGAATGTTTTTGTTTGGGAGAGTTTCTCATAGATGGAAGGAGCATCCGGTTTGGAAAAAACTTGGCTTTCTGCATAAAGTTACATCTTAGAAACTTATTGAATAAGTCATTTTCTATATCATTAAGCCATTATCAAACAGTCATGTATAACTTACCGAATAAGTTGAGTTCTGTTAAGTTTATTACCTATTAACAAACAGATTCGAAGCTTCTTTAACTCGTAAGTTAAAGTATCTTTAAATAACATCTAGTATAACAATTTCTCATATCTTTGTAGACAAGACGAAAGACCATGCAAATGGTCAGTCGATTTGTGGGAAGTGCGAAGGATATTCATCCTTCGATGCACCAAGATGAGATGCATCAGATCAATCCCTATATCAAACGTGATTCATAAATAGATTTACGATTAAAGATGATTAAAGGTTCAAATCCATTCTTATATTTTCTACGTTTAACTCTCTTTCGCACACGACTTTTTACCCTAAGTAAATACTATATATGGTATATGTATTTTGTTGATTCTAAATAATAATTCACAAGTGAAGATCACAAATGAGTGGTGGAAAACTGGGACCCATCTTCACACACCCCCTTACCAGCCTTACATTTTCCATAACCCAATCTCAAGTTTTATTAAACTTTTTATAAAATCAAAACCCAAAAATCTTTTTCCATTGGAATCAATCATCAGGCAGCCATGGCAGCAACCACATCTTCAAACCTCCTTCACTTCTCCAGTTCTCACTCCGTCTCCCGCCTTACCCCTCTCAAAACCACCACCACCCTCTTTTCATGCTCCAAGAAACGCCCATTCACGTCGGCGCCCGCTGGTGGTGCCGCCACCGCAGGAGTACGATGCATGGCGGTGGTATCCGAGGCCGGATCCGTGAAGAAAACGAGTTCTTACCAGATCATGACATTGACAAACTGGTTGTTGCAGCAAGAGCAATCGGGAGCAATAGATGCCGAGCTTACAATTGTGTTGTCCAGCATTTCAATGGCGTGTAAGCAGATTGCGTCGTTGGTGCAACGAGCCAGCATCTCCAACCTCACCGGAGTCCAGGGAGCCGTAAACATTCAGGGAGAGGATCAGAAGAAGCTCGATGTCGTCTCTAATGAGGTTCATTATGTCAATCTTAATCGTTCAAATTTCCGTCAACCATCATTTTTCGATTGTACAATCGACGTTTTCTTCAATACTTTTCGTTCAAGTTAACCAAAACCGAATCAAACCAACCTAGTGTATTATACACGAAAGTATAATTAAAGTACAAAATTATATCTCTTATAATTATTGCTAAATCGCAAAATAGAATGCGAGAATATGTGAAATCTAATTAAATTACTCTTCAAAAAAAGCCCATATATAGGGGTGAAAATGGTATGGTACCATGTTTTGTCAGTTATATGCCTATATCATGTACCAACCAACTATAATTGATATAAGAAGTCATATACTGTTTACGAACTAAGTATACTTGGTATCACGCTTTTTTGATTGGTACATGCTTGTATTAGTTTTGTACCAACATCGCAAAATTTCAAATCAATTTACAATGTTTAATAGTCGATATATATATATATATATATATATATATACACACACACACACGAAAAAAGGGAGGTTCAAACAAAAACGGTAACTAAATAAGAGAATACGAAAACGGTCAAATCATGTGTAATAACAATCAACGCAAGGGTGTCTGAGCAACTTGGCCCACAACCTGACGTGAATTACATGTGATTATAGTGTAAAATCACATGCTGTGTAAAAATATTCAAATCTGCTTAAATTGGAGAAAATTTTGGGGATTTGAAAGGTAAATGAAAGATGTGTGGATTGAAATGAACAGGTGTTTTCGAATTGCTTGAGGTCGAGTGGAAGAACCGGTATCATCGCATCGGAGGAGGAGGATGTGCCGGTGGCGGTGGAAGAGAGTTACTCCGGCAACTACATTGTCGTGTTTGATCCTCTTGATGGATCATCCAACATCGATGCTGCTGTTTCAACCGGTTCTATTTTCGGAATCTACAGCCCGAACGACGAGTGTCTCGCTCCCGAGATCGGCGACGACTCCACGGTAAATGTCTACTTTGATCTGAACATTTTGAGATTTCGATAAAAGATCGATAACCCATTGATGAAAATTGAAGTGAATTTTGAAAATGCAGCTTGGCACCGAGGAACAGAGGTGCGTGGTTAGCGTATGCCAGCCCGGAAACAACCTCCTAGCGGCCGGTTACTGCATGTACTCGAGTTCCGTCATCTTCGTGCTTTCCATCGGTAAAGGCGTTTACGCGTTCACGTTAGACCCGATGTACGGCGAATTCGTACTCACTCAAGAAAAGATCCAAATTCCCAGATCAGGGAAGATTTACTCTTTCAATGAAGGAAACTACCAACTATGGGATGATAAGCTCAAGAAATACATGGATGACCTCAAGGACCCTGGTCCAACCGGAAAGCCGTATTCGGCTCGGTATATCGGTAGTTTGGTCGGTGACTTCCATCGGACGCTTTTGTACGGAGGGATTTACGGGTACCCTCGAGATAAAAAGAGCAAGAACGGGAAGCTTAGGCTCTTGTACGAATGTGCACCGATGAGTTACTTGGTCGAACAAGCAGGAGGAAAAGGATCCGATGGGCATCATCGAGTACTTGATATCCAGCCAACCGAGGTTCGTACATACTCATTACAACAAAATCAGATTTATAGGACGTTAAATCCGTCTAAATGCCTTAATAAACTGATTTATAGGACCGAACAATTGTCTGTCACGTGTTACAATAAGTTGATAAGACGTTTTTGGACGTCCTAACAAGTTTTTTTTAAGACACCCTTTGACATAAATTAGTTTTTCAAAAAATAAAGCATGTTATAAAGGTTTTGTAATAAGTTTATAGGACGTTTTTGGATATCTTAACAAGTTTTCTTATAATACTTTTAATACGAAGCGTCGCATTAGCTAATAGGACACTTTTTCAAATAGTATCCTATAAAATATCCTACAAAATTTGTTACAACCCAAAAAATATTTTTTAAACTTATTACAACGCCTTTAGATATGATACTTTATTTTTTTTGGTCATATAAATTATGTTTTAGAAAGTTTTGAATTTAATAAACCCAATTTTATTGTAGTGCTTTATTTCAAAAATAATCTAAACAGCCTGATAAGACATTCAAAAAAACGTCTTATCAACTTATTGTAAAACTACATACAATTGTTTGTTCCTATAAAGTTAAGTCTAACAAAATAGACTATTGACATCCTATAAATCTGATTTTGTTGTAATAAGTACGAAAATGATTCTTTGCATGATCAGTTCCACTATTCACCTTGACTTTGAAGGTCAAACCGTTGGCTTCGATTTCGAATTGATTTAGACTATCGTTTTTGCAGATTCATCAACGAGTTCCTCTGTTCATCGGAAGCGTAGAGGAAGTCGAAAAACTAGAGAAGTATTTGGCTTGAACGTAAACGAAATATGTGTTTTTCTTTTTGAATTTTGCGTAAAAGAAAAGAGAAAACGAACCAAAAGATTGCTTAAAAGGTGCTTTTATGGCCATGGGGAACCTTTTTTTTTTATTTCTCACTTAAAATTTAATCTTTAAACGTTTTATGATGCTACTTAGGACGACTAAATATAAATAAATGAACGTAGCAAAATGTATTTACGTTAATTATCGACGCTTTATGACAAGCATCATTCGGTTCTCATGATCACCAAACAAATCGATTTCGTTGAACTTATATCAGGGTTCTCAAATATTACCATGTATATATGAATATATAAAGTTATGAAAAATATGTGTAATATATAAGTTCTTTATGAAATTCAAGACGTTTTTTTAGTTTCACATTCGTCTCATTAGCATCATTAGATGCAACGAAATGAATCTTTTTAAGATTTTAAGAACGAGCTTATAAATACCCGTCCTTATATGTAGTAGTATACGGTGTCTTGTGCCACCATTACATTTCCTAACGTAGTGACAAAAAATTTACGATTTTTAAAGGTATCACTGTTTTAATTATATATGTAACCACATGGTTAAGAAAAATATAATAGAGGTGGAGAGCAATAGCAAGAATACTCTTATGTAGCGATGTCCAAAAACCGGTCCCGGACTGGGCTGTAGGCCTCAAAAGATCTAGCCATAATTGGTCCCGACGTAACCGGTCCTGGGCTGGGCCGATTTGGCCATCATTGCTCTTACGTAGAGATGGCCAAAATCCGGTCCCGGGCCGGTCCTTAACCGGTCCCTACCGGTCCTAATCAAGACAAAAACCGGCGGTAACCGGTCCTGCCATAACCGGTCCCGATCCTTAACTGTTGCCATGTCATTGTCATTGTCACGTAACATATCAAGGATAAAATGACCAACTTGTCCTCATCTAATGTGTCATGACGGAGAGTTAACAACAGTCGGTAGGAAAACAATTTATAATAAATGAAGTTAAGAGATGAAAATTGTAATCAACAGGATGGGGAAATGTAAGCGTTTACAACAATATATAAGATCGGTAGTTAACAACCTAATAATCTAAGCCGAACTAAGTAAAAATTAACATCGGGTGTCGGCTACGCTCACCAAAAGATTTCAAATCAACATGTGACCCTAAGTATCTCCAAAAGTGTCATCCCAAAAATGCCCTTAATGGCAAACGTTCGCTCCGCTCAAACATTGGGGACCCCATTGCTATGCGATCAAGATATACATGTCATTTAAGAAAAAATATTAGACTTAACGCCTAGTGTAAACAAACAGTAATATTTTATGAAGTAAAAAGAATATATTTTATTTTTTTCAAGAGTCAAATTTAGGATATAACGCTGATATATATTATAATTATAAATATTAACTTGATATATGTATCCATACTAAGGGTGCTCAAAAACATGACCAACCCGATCAACTCGATGAACCCAACCCAATCCAACGCGACTCAACCCGAAGCAACCCAATGTCTAATCGAGTTGTAAAATTTTCAAACCGTATGTATTGGGTTGATATTGGGTTACTATTATTTGAACTCAACCTGACCCGATGAACCCGATATCCTATTATTTCTTAGATTTAATATGATTGTTGAATTTCTATTAATATATGCATTAAACAATAATACTATCACGTACGTTCTTCATGTACACATCTTTTCAATCTATTCACATCTCTATATGACTCATTCGTATATATATATTCAGTAATTTTAAACATATATACGTAAATTGAGAAAATTAACTGAATGTGATATACGTAAGAAGTATGTATAAGTTGTATCAAATGGTTGATGATGAAAAATAAATTATGAGTAGAGAAATAACATATTCAAGATTAGAAGAATATTTTAATATATCAAAGTATCAACCCGACCAACTCGTACGGTTTGGGTTGGGTTGGGTTAAGATTTTTTCAAACCGCAAGCATTGGGTTGGGTTGATCAAATGTCTTTAACCCGATCAACCCAACCCATGAGCACCCCTAATCCATACCAGGGGCGGACCTGCTTGGTTGGCATGGGTGGCACGTGCCACCGTATTATCTAGCCACCGAAGGGTAAAAAAATTAGGTTTATTAACGGTGCTACCGTATCGTTTTGAAAGGTGCTACGGTATTTTTTCTGAATTTCAAATAGTGCAACTAAATCTAAAATCCAAACAAGATAAAGTCCAAATAAATTAGATAAGTAAGCCCAACAAATTGATTAATCTAATAACACTAGTTGTGTACCCGCGCAATGCGGCGGGAGCCATGTATTTTAACGATTTTGAAGTTCCACTGGTTTTATAAGATAAGATTTAACGATGATATAGGTTACACTTGGTCTTTACATATTAATACAATTTGAATAAATAAGAGTTATGGTTCCAATTACAGACTATCAATGAAAAAAATTGTATGACAGTTTAAAATCCAATATATTTAAAATCCAACATATTTAAACGACTTCACAAATGTATTCGATTTACACCAAGAGCAAAGAACCAAGAAACTTGAGTTTTAAGATAAACACTCAAAACCAATAAAGAAAACTACAAATTTGACAGATCATAAGCCATGAAAAGACAAAAAAAGATGGGTTTTAGAATAAAATTTGGGTATATATTGACCGTTTTCAAAAGATGAAGACGCGTCGGGTACAAGTTTAGGAGTTGTTTATCGGTACTATAAAAACCATAATTTTTGTAATTAATTTTTAGATATATATTATATTATATTAATTATATGGTGCCACCGTATGAAAAAAATTCTGGGTCCGTCCCTGATCCATACTATATCTTCTTAGGATGTCACGTAATGAGTTATGACTAATAACTTGATAACGTGTGAAAACATTCATTCATTAAGTTCGGTACCAACCTCTAAGAGAAGCTAGAAAGCTAGATATTGTTGCCCGAATTTACCAGCAGGTAAGACTCGTCAGTATTACCGATGCAACACCGACAACATTTCAAACTAAAATATAGTGCATAGATGGATTATCGAGAAAAAAAAAACTATATCCATCGGTAAACTCCCACTAATTACCAACATCACCACTGGATTAGCGACAAGTTTTCAATGGGGATAAATAAGACTTCGTTTTAATCATTACAAGTCTTTAACTTTTTTATTTTATTTTTTAGGTCTCTATATATAATCGACTGGGAATTTGCATAGTTTACTGATAACATATACAGTATTTTTCCCCTAAAAATACCGTGTCAAAATTTTCAATAAAATGACAAAAACGTCCTTATATGAGAAACATGTGAGAGACTCTTGACAGTAGGAGAATGGCAATCGTTAAAGCGATAGATCAAACCAAAATAAAAAGAAAACAATAAAAATAGATTGGACGAATTGCATAAAAAGTAACATACTTTAACTTGATTCTTATTTTAGATAACATACTTTGAAAACTTTTATTTTGATAACTAAGATGTAAAGTTTTAAATATTTAAGTACCTGGGTAACAGGTTGAAGTATTAACCGGTTAACATGTTGATGTGTTATCTATGCTGAAATGGATAGATCTAAATCTAAAATTAGTTTTTATGTATTGTGGTTTATTAGAAGAAAGACTTAAAGTTTCAACCGGTTACTCGACTACTTAAATTTTTAATTACATCTTATATATCAAAATGAAAGTTTTGAAAATACATTACTCAAAGTATGAATTAAGTTAAAGTACGTTATTTTTTTATCCAAATAAATTTATAATAAATAAAGTTGAGGGACTAAAACAAAACTTTTATAGATTAAAATAGTTTCATTTAATTTAGAAGCGTTAAAATACATGATTTGAAGAATGTGTACAAAAATAATAAATTCAAAAGTGAAAAATTAAATGCAGTCACATGCAACTTACGGAACATAAATCAATGATGGATTATTTATTGGTGAATTTTAAGTATTTTTATATATCAACAAATAAAGTGGCGTGTTTCTTAGATAATTGGGCTACTTTTCATATGTAAAATATATTTTAATTTTAATATTTTGTTTTTTTATCTCAATTGATTATATTATTTTCAGAAAATAT